AGAAGTCGCGCTGAGGATTGCGACGAAAATCCAAGACATTTCCGAACCAAAACAATATTAGTAACGAGCTAAGACATTGTTGTTTTACTTAGGAACCATATGATTGAATCAAATAACAAAAAATACCTTAGTGATAGATGACAGGATATAGAGATGGCTAAACTAAATAGAAAATTCTAGTAAAGCCATTGGCCTGCATTTATGATACGCGTAAAACGATGCTGTGGTCGGTTTGAGGATCGAAGCTTTGTCAGCTGGATTAAGCTCTTTGGCTCATGACACCAATTTTGCATTTATATCATGTAAAAATACTATTTTAAGTCTTGGTAATGGGATTGGTAAATACCATTGCCATAATTAAAGTAAGTTATAAACACTATAGTATCTAGCCACAAACCGACCTACTTGTACGGATGTACGTGGATAAAAATTTGATTTTTTAGGGCCTGTTTCAAAATGTTGTTCCAAAGATCTCTCGATCCACAATGAATAACATCTTTAAAAATCAATTTGTCGCACTTGAGTTTTATTTTATAAACTTCGCTGTTTACAAATTGGTTAGATATCTAACATTCGGTACTGACCATCTTCCGTTAATGCGATGTCCTTTTTTTATTGCAAAATTTTTAACCTAATTTAGTTGTTATTTTGGATCCTTATTTTATATATAGGACAATGGGCGCCGTGGCTGAAACGTTTAAAGGCTACCAGTACTATGAGTTTGCAATGCTTAAGGATCTCGCTTCTGAAAGTCGGCGTCTTGCAGCCTCTACGGCCGCTAAGTGTGACCGGCAGTTGGCATCTGAAGCCACAGCACCTCTGAGCGATGAGGATGAGGTTGGACCAAACACCGACAATCCATCAGGTCCTCAACGGCAGATTGATTCAGAAAATAATCGCGAAGCGGCCTCGAAAAAGTGAGTTTGATATTGTATATTCCATTTTAGTATTCTTTTGCTTGGCCGTCTACACATGGTTGCGAATTATACTTCAGAATGTGGTAGCTTATCTCTTTATCATCATCTTTTC